AATCATGAACAAATCCCAATTCCTTAATGGTTAAATCCACCATTTTTCATGACTTTCATGTTTTTTCATCAGTTCCATGTCCATTTTGCCTGGCGATTTATAGCCACCGGACGAAGCGGCTTCGCCACTCGGGTTTTTGACCAAGGGACGCCTCCCACGCGGAGCCACCGAGATGGCTTTCCGGAGCTGCTTGGCGTCATTGGTGTTGATGGCCTGGTGCCACAGTCGCACACGAATTAGGACTAGGAATTATATGGTTTCATGTAGATATATATATATATATGCTCTTACACTTGCAACCAGCTCTTTTCCAGAACTGTTCTGGCTCTTTGTTGCCCTTGGTTTCACTGAGGTGTGCTGAACTCAGACAGAGAAACCATGTGCAAAAACATGTGCAATCATATGTTTGACAAGAGAACCTTACTAAGTGTCTTCTCACCTGTGCCATGCCGATTTGGCGGGATGTTTCTTCAGAGACCGAATCGGACAGCGTTGAGGACTGGATCATTTTTCGATTCCCTCTTTCTTCTGGTGGAAGTTGTTCGCACATGTCCTTACTGGAGTTCCACACTGACTGTTCATTCAGAAAGGGGCGTTCTCGTATCCGTGCATACCCAATCGACAGGACCATACCTTGTCCCTGAGCCAGCTCGACTATCTCAACGTGGGGGCAGACTTTCTAGAGCGTTCAGGACTGGCGCAGCAGCCATGCAGCATGCAAACCGGTAAGAGTCACATTTTGAGACAGCTTCAGATTGAACTACTTTTGTCATGGAGGACTTCGGGACTTTATCAGCTCTTGTCCGAAGGATTTCGGCTTTGCTAGCGACTGCTCCTTGTCTGGCATGTTTCCCAGTTTGTTGCTTATCGGATTTCCCGCGTCTTTCCTTTGTTTAACCATGAGTTTTGGGAATCCAAGGCTCGGGAATGGAGACCCCGTTTCTGGCTTTGAAAGCCTTGTTTGGAGCAGCAGGCAACGCTGATAAGTTGCAGCACTTGCTACTTGATTCAATTCTGAAAGGGTAAGGGCTTGCCAGATATTGCCAGCAAGTGTTTTGGAAACATTGCGCGTTTTCAAGCTAAGGTCCTGCTCTGAGACCAGTCATGGAGCGACGAAATTCATAGCGGCCAACTTCTATGGGCTGCAAGAGCTCCATGTCGAAATATTTCAAAGGTTGTTTTGGGCAGCCAGTGACAAAAGCCCCCTTTTGTCATTGTTGTCACTCAGCTAGTGACGGCCCAAGGTTCAGAAGTTCCGTTTTCGAGGATGGCAATCTGGGGAAGCTTTTCCACCGCGCACCTTGGTAATTTTCATCTGTCTAGTGCACCATGAACCCTTGCGTTGGAGCTTCAAAGCAATAGTGTATCGACTGCCTGAGGTGGCTTTGTATTGCGCTGGCTTTCCATGTCAGCCATTCAGCGCATTGAATGCGACCTCATCTTTCTTTGAAGAGGAGAAGAGCAAGCCGCTGTTCAAAGTGGTGGAACGGGTGAAGCGCGCCCAGCCGGGCGTTTCTTGGATGGTATTTATTACCTAGTCCGTCCTTTTGGTTTGCGTTGATTCCAACCTCTTGTGGGTTTCGTAGCCAGCACTGAACGGCAATAAGGTAGCAATCCTGGAAAATGTGAAAGGCCTCAAAGCAGTTCTAGAGCCGTTGGTGGAGCTGCTGCACGCCAATTTACCAGAGTAGCTCGTCTAATTAAAAATCGGTTTGACGCTCTCCTCCAGCTGCTGGTCGTTAAGCTCACCCCTCGAAACCTGAGGTATTGCATCCTTGTGACGACCATCAACCCGTCACCTGGCAAAAAACTATATTTGGCGCGTATACCAGCGGCAAGCTAGCAGAACCATAAATTCGTTAAGCGACACCTAAGATAAGCTCCTAAGGTGTCACTATGGCGCCCCAATCTCTCGGGACCGATACTATCTCCTGATCATTCGTTGGGAGCTGATGCGAGAGGAAGCCCTGGGGGATCCACAGGAGTTTGCAAAACAAGTTGCTTCTGAACTCCAGCATGGGAGCAAATACTCTTGGAATCTTTCGTGGCATTAAATAGCATGTCCCTTTATTTTTTCGCTCACCCGGCACTTATGTATAGCGAAGCATTTTCCAAAAATGTCGCCAAGGAATGATTTGCTTTTCAGCCGTGATCACCCGGAAGTTGCCAGTGATATCCAACGCCGCCGGCTGCGGCGCCAGAAGTGCTTGCTTGGGACGACCCCTAGCAGTTTGATTGACCTGTTAATGGCACATCAAAGTACCGACAGGTGATGAGCATCAATGAGAGTCACTACATGCGAAATGTTTGTCTTTTCCCCACCTGCTGATCGTCAGGGTCTCTAGATTTTAGAAAGGTACAACTCCTCCTCTTCTTCTTCCTTCTTCCCTCCTCCTCCTCCTACTCCTCATCTGCTCCTCTGCCAGCTTGTCGTGACTGGGCTAAAATCGCGTTTATATGCGTGTATGGCATATTTTATTTTACATTAATATATAATTAGTATATTATATATTTATATAGATTATGTTATATTTACTATTTTATATATTATAGCTCCGGATGCAGTGGGCCACGCCTGGACCCGAACATAGAGTCTCAGAATAGATTTCAGAAAGGCTGTCAGATAGAATGTCAGAACATATGTGAGCTAGAGCTAGGATGCCAGAAAGAATGCTAGACAGAATGTCAGATGCAGAATGCCAGAATGAATGCCTGAAAAGATGCCAAATAGAATGGCAGAATAGATGCCAGATAGAATGCCAGAATAAATGCCTGACTAGATGCCAGAAAAAATGTCAAAATATGTGCCAGAAAGTTTGTCAGAGTATATGCCAGAAAGAGTGTCAGATAGAATGTCAGGGCGTATGCCAGAAAGAATGTCAATATATTATATATATATTGCAATATATGCTTCCAAATGGTATGTCAGAAACTATGCCAGCATAGCTTGTCAGGGTCGGCATCACTCGAAGAATTTAATGTTCAATCGTCTTTGGTGCACATGATGTGCCATCAGCCGAGGAAGCCAACCATGAAGTCCAAGTGGCCCAGACTGCATCGGGCTTGGGCAAAGCAGCACAAGGCAACTCGGCTAAAAGGCCCTCAGCTGTTTCCACCCTTCTCATGGAGCAGGCAAAATGCGGACTTTTTGCTCAGGTCAAATTTTCATCTGCGAAGGGGGCCCTGAAAAAGAACCATGTTTTGGCATCTCAGCAAATTTCGACGATGCGTGAGGAACAGGCTAGATCATTGGCAATATATATCTTGATTTTTTAACTGCACTGGCCAGACATTGCCTCTCTGTCTATCTCACGGGAGGCCCTCGACCTCCTTCTAACACGCTTTGGGACCAACCAGGGGGCCGTGAATACGTCGCAACAGCTGCACCGTATGCCCCACGTGGATGAGAATAAGCCTCTCATGTGTTTGACGTCTTTGACTTAGCAGATCGACGCAGCATAGGATGGGCACCCCAGAACAAATTACCCCTGTTATCAACCGATTTGATTCGAAGGCCTGGGGGATCCTACTTGCTGCTCGGTTCTCAACAGCGGTTTCTCACAAGTGACTTGGATGAAAGGCAAATTTGTTCTCACCTGGCAATATTATCACTCTGCATCTCACAAGTCTTCAGCCAGTAAGTAGCCTGAACCTGTTCCTTAGGTTTGGAGATGGCCCTTTTGATGGGCATACCTATCCATGAGGTCAACTTGAAACAGAACTCTGAGAGTGACCCTTGACCCATTTTAGGTTCAAACCTTTCCATCCATAGTCCATGAGTCGTCCAATCATGATATCATGCATTGTCAACCCAAGGAAATTCGAACCTTGGCCGGCAACGGCATGGCTTTGCGTGCAGTGCTAGTCGCTATTTGTGTATGTCTCCGGGCCTTGGACCCTGAGAAGTTGGTGTCATACTTACGACGCTAATTTGCTTTTTACTTGCAGAACGCTAGGTGCTCACACATGGACTGAAAAAGATCGTATTGAGAAAGGGGGACTTTCCTGCTTGCAATGCAACATGATGATTCACCAGTCGTGGTAAACCCTGGACCCTGGATTCTTCATGATCGAAGCATTAATGATCGAAAACAATTACAGTCTGTGCTCACAAGCCTATTGTTTTTGCAGGAAAACATGGTGTTAAAGCGAAATTCAATCAGAAGTATTGGAGGTAATGGGTCCCCGAATAATCACGCTGCCGAGTTATGAATACCACCCTTCAACTGTCCTTGAATGCCGGTGCTTGGCCGCTGGGATGAATGCGAGCCTGAGAATGGCCAGCCACGATCTTGCACTGGATCGTCTAAGTCTGCTTGGCGCTATGAGGAGACGGAATCTGGAGATAGCAGCTCCGACCCGGGTTCTGCCTCCGGGTAACCTACCTGCAAGCGTTTGCTTGAATTAAGCTGCAGCAGAGGTATAGCCAAATATATTTTAGGGGACGTTGGTTCCACTTCATAGTTGCGAAGCTTTACTGCAGTTTTGGAAGAAGGCTGCCTTTCCACCACTCACTGGAGTTTGTTTCTCTACTTTGCCCTTCCACCGCCCCTCTTTCCAAATATATCAGTTGCCCAAGGTCTGAAGAAGAATCGGCAAGCTCATGCTTCGAATCGGACTCTGGGCCAGAGGAGAATGGTCGTGCAGTTGAAGTGACCCTTACACTTTCCAAGCTTGAATCTCTTCATGCAACGTCTTCTGAACCAGTATGTAGATCTCAGCACTCTAAGAACGGCATGAGTGGCAAGCGTATCAAAGAAGTGGTCCGCAACCCGCAATGCGCTTGCAAGTGCCGGGTTCCAGAACAACTCCTTTTCAAGATATGTCAGTGTTTTTGGATGTTGACTAAAGTTGGGCAAGACGCGCTTCTTTGGAGCATGCAAGCAGAAGCTGGCAAACGGCGGAAGTTTTGGAACATTGAAGGATTGGTCTGTTGAAATTTAGGTTGCGGTAGTAATTGACTGATGCGGTTCTCCAATAGTTTTTTGCCATTTGTTCAGTTGCTCCTTCTCCTGATGTGGCCTTCTCATTCAGCAGGTTATCGGACGTGTCGCGAGTCTTTCCTTCGCTTTCTTGGTGTGGGCAAGCAAAGGATCCTGAGAACGAAGCGGCGGTACAGGGGCATGGATGAGAGAATGCTGAAAACTGGACACTGGACTGGGTTCAAGAAACCGCATATTTTGGGCCAGCTATACCCCTCAAGGAACTTAAGCACTCAAGGGATTATTTTCCTTTCTACCTGGCCGCAAGCCGCTAGCTAAGGAGGCTGTGTGCATCCAGCACGGAAGCGGGCTGCTGCCCGTGGTTTTTTTGTCCATCTATATTGGACAGCTGGCGAAAGCATGACCACAAGGCTTCATGCTTCCTTGAAGAATATAATGTGTTACATGTTGTTTAAAGTTTTAACTTGTCTTTGTCCATTTCTGCAGAGGGAACTATGCTTTTAGTGTGTTGGATGCACCCCCAGGGTTGCTTCGTCCAGCTTACTAGACACAAGCGACGAAGAACTTCGGTGTCAACTACTTCAGCGTCTAGTGGAAGCCAAGTTATGTGGGGCCACCAAGCAACTGGTTGATGCGGATCCTAACCGTCTTCCAATGAGAGAACTTCCTCATGGCAACATGGCTGGTTTGTACCTGCAGTTTGTCGCCTACTGCAAAAGCACCGGTGAATCAGCTTGTTCCAAGACCTTGTTTTACGAAGTTGGGAAAGAATGGCACACTTGCCTCCGGTTCCACAAGAAATCAAACCACGCTGTCTGTGCTGTTTGTTCAGAGCTTCGTGCCCAGATTCGAAGATGCACGGAACCCCGTTTGATTTTAAAAATGTTCTTTTTGGTGGTTTTCAGACCAGCCCCATGTGCCCTTGGTCATCTCAGTCCTTTAACCTTGTCTCATCACATGGCAGCTGAGGACTTTGTTCGTCACGCCCATCTTTGTGATGAGCTGCTGGGTCACTTTACCCAGCAATATCGCGACCGAGAGTTGTATTATCTTGCTCGGGAAAGATCGAGGGGGAGGAAAGACCTCCTGACCATTATCGTAGACAGCTACGACAAAGCAAAAATCGTTCTTCCCAAGTTCCCCCATGGAGGTAGAAATCCGAAGAAAAGGGATTATGAGAAATCAAGACGTCCTTCGGTTTTGCTTGGAAAACATTTTGATTCGGGTAACTAAACTCCCCTGCGAAATGTTGTTCATGGCCGTTATATGTTTCTTTTTGACGGCTTTGAAAGCTTCGCTCCAGGAACCCACTTGACGCTCACATGCGTCATTGTCCATGGCCACGGGTGTTGGATGTACCTCTGCTGGGAATCAATGCCAACAGGAGCAAATTGGACTTGGGAGGTCGCAACTGGGATGATTACTTGAGCCTTCCTTGGTTTCCGCTGCCAGCACTTGTTTTTTCACAGCAAAATACCGCACAAACTACTTCCTTTTGTCTGCATAGTGAGGCTTACTCCAAGCCTAGGTGAACAGGTCCATTGAGAAAACCTACCAGAAATGCTTGGAGCGATCGGAGACATTCCCTTCAGAGTACCAAGTCTGCATGGTACTTGTATTTTTTGACTTGAATGGACCCAAGCATTCGATAGGACTCTTATCCGTCTTCGTCGTTTCTCAGGGAACAATGACTTCACTGAGGCTGTGGGTTCAAGGGGATAACACCCCAAAAGAGCTACGCAACCAATCTACAGCAGCGATGATGGCATCTTTTTGCCAAGCAGGTCTCTTTGAAACCTGCTCACACTGTCATCTTGGAGTTGGCCACACGCATGAAGACGTGGATGGTTGCCTAGCACTTGTGACCACGGCCCTGGGGTCGGAGCCTGACATTCAATCGCCGGCTGACGTCATGCGAATCCTGCGGCAAAAGTTGGGCCCACTCTTTCACCGAAACAATATGGAGTTCGGAGTCGAGCTTGTGGATACTGCCAACTGACTTGTCATATCAACAACTTTTGGTGGTCAATGAGCCTACTTTTTTCTCGGGGAGACTGATTGTAAGTTTGATGCTTTGCTTATAGCCTTTGGCAAATCACAGGTGCGAGAATGGACAGCCATGCTACCTAGCAGAGTTAGCTTCTCGAACTGCTACTTGGATCGCCCAGAGAAGTACAACCCGGAAGGTCGGAGGGTACCACATTCGTTTACCTTTGTTCCCAGGCCCCGTATCCCAAGAGATGTTGCTACGGAGGAGAGGATCCCAAGGAACATGCAGGTTCGGGACACTGACAAGGACGTGTTCGCTGTGATCAAAATGAATATGGCAGACAAAAACCTTTGCCAAACTCCTTTGCTTGTGTACCCGGGGTCCATGGTGTCGCAGGTTGAAGAATTTCTGAATTCCATCAACACAACAACCAAAGTTGTGACGGCAGAGTTTGATGGCGAGAGGGCCACTGAAATCAGAGAACTAGCTGACGCAATAGAGCGGGACTACCCGCACTTGTCCAGGGCAGTGGCTTTCTATCGCAGTTTGCTGGCCCCAAGCCGGCTGGAATGGTGCCCGCAATTCAGTTTCATTCGCGCCATCCGATCGTCTTCTCGATGGTGCCAAATTAATTTCGGGGAAAGGCCTTTGCCACCCAAGCCATACCATTTGCAGATTAGGTTTCACCGGGGTTGACATGACAACATGGGGAACCGAGTCCGAGAAAAACACCAATTGAATGGATGTTTGGAATCTTTGGAATATGGCAAACTTAGTCTGCTGTGCAAGGACGACACTGCCCATATCATGTTTTTTTTCCCAGCTGGCACGTATCGCCTCAAACACCTGTGAAGACTTGGGTGTTCTGTTTGGGTAAGCCAGGGTGTGTGTGTGTGTGAGAAAAGGGGGCCATGGCTGATGACAGTGAAAATGATGTCAAGGGGCCGTTGGCTGAAATCTGTGCTTACTTTGAAACAGTAACCTATACCACAAAACAGGAACATTTTTGTTATGCACTTTGAATTTGGTTGGTTTACAATGCCGAAATCCGATGCAAATATTTGAGGAAGAAAGGATGCGGGGAATCTTAGGTACTTGGCAACAAGAATTTGGGCGAGCACCTGAATGACGTGTTTGCTGACAGGGACCGGATGCTTCAGGCCCCTGTTGGGGTTTGAAATCGTGTTGATTTTGTTTCTTCCACAGAATTCCCACTGTGACACCAACTTAGTGCCCATTCAGGCCATCAGGCGGCATGTGCCGCAGCACCCACCACCTGGAAAGCAGTATATGACCTCGGTTCCAACGGAATCTATGGACGAGTTTTGGCTGCCAATCTCCCGGTTCGACTACAGCAGTTCTGCAAAGGATGGATGTCAGGAGTTATGAAACATGTTTTTGGATTGGAACTGTTCCATGACTTTTTTCCGTACCATGCCTACACTTTCAATGGGGGGCCCTGACCCTGCAGTTTTTCCGAACAACAGCAACTTCCGGTCGCACTACAAAGAATTTGTGGTGCACGGATACCGTTCTTCCTATGAAGCCATTCAATGCAAGTTCCCCTTGGCCGATTCCAACAGGGTATTGCTAGACTGGTCAACTGGCTTTGTCGACGGCATGACCAAGATCATGCTGTGCCTGTGCATCATAGGATTTTGCGAAGAGCTAGAGTTCACAGATGAGCAGCTGAGAGATCCAGATTTGCGACGCACACTGGATTCGTTTGGTGCCTTTCGATGTTCATACCAGCACTTTGACAACCAAGGACACCATTTCCTCAACGCAATCAGTTTCCCAGCTTTGCTTCAGGTTGTGGCTTTGTTTCTTTCAGACTGGGTGGTTGCTCCTTCCCAGGCTTGTTTTTGCTGTTTGTGATTGCCCCTTGCCATGCTAAGAAGTCGGGTTCGTCACTTCGGAGAAGACCGCCCCGACCCCAATCCAGTTGGTGGCAAGTGTGGGCCATGCAATTGACTTGGAGAGAAGGGGGAACCCAAAGCTGGCGTTAAAGGACGGCCTGAACCGAGTGTGCGCTGCATTCAACAAGATGGTGTCCAACAAGAAACACCGCTTGGATGGGAGCAAGAAAGCTTTGGTATACAACCTGTACCTGGTTTCAACTTAGGCGTTTATTTTGGAAGGCTTGCTTTGTGGGAAGTGGGGATGGGTAGTCGGGCCTTTGGTTCAGCTTACTGTTTCCTGGTTTGGCAAACAGTGCAAGGCTCCGTTCAACACCAGCTTTGCTGGATGCAGTCCATGCCCACTACGATTCCCACAAGCCAGAAACATCAGGACTTTTTAGCGCCAACCCCACCTTTTAACGAACAGTTTCAAACACCAGTTTCCAAGCCTACATGCTATGGCCTGAGATCAGGACTCCAACCAGAAGCCTTGGCCATGGACTTTTGGGTTCCTGGTGTTCACACACGTGCTGAGAACCCTCGTTTCAGAGGAAAACCGCAACTAGAGGAAGTCCTTTGCACGACAAAGGACACATCAGAGCTCTTTTTTCAGCATGCGATGGAGGAACTGGGTGTGTAAAAGAAAACGCATGCTGCATCAAATGGTTTGTTTCTCAACCTGGTACCTTTTCTGATCAGACGTTTGGGATAGAAGTGTCAGATTAAAATCTGTTTTGTTTCAAACCTGCAGGACTTCAACCGCAAGGTGTCAAAGACAGCCGCTCAAAAGGCCAAGGACTGGGGTTCCATGCTGCCTGTTCTCAAAGTTTAAATGCACCTTTTGTATTGAAATATCTTTGAAAGACGTTCAGCACTGGTTTTGGTTACCCCTCAGAAATTTGCAATGTTGGACATCGATGGCCTGGTCAATCTTCACGACATTGTGTGCCTGTGGATTTGGCTCCGCGAACGGCTCCAAAGGGCATTTCCGATGGAGACTGTGGCGAAATATGAGAACCTCTTTCAGAAGGGGCTTCTAAGCTGCATTTCATGTACTCCAGCCGAAAACTCTAGGAAATTTGGCTGGGGTGTGATTGGTTTTCCAGAAAACCCGTCGTCAACTTGCGGACGACTGCCGAAAACTCTAACAAATTTGGCTGGGGTGTGATTGGTTTTCCAGAAAACCCGTCGTCACCTTGCCGAAGAATTGCATGTTTTTGGCCAAGAGAACCAATCACTTTTTGCGATAGAAACAAGCATCGAAATTGTGATTGGTTTTCTGGAAACCCCGTCGCAAATCCTTGAACATCGGAGCAGGCAATCGCAATTGAGGTGCAATTTTGCCCGCTTCACTTTTGATGCGTAGGTTCAAAACCATGGAATTTATGATTGGTTTTCTGGAAACCCCGTCGCAAATTGAGGAGGGAACAGCAGGAGGGAAATGTGATTGATTTTCCCAAATTTTGGCCCCAATCATTTTTTTAAATTTTTTTGGGACATTGTGTAAAACCAAGGTCGCTTGACAATGACCTTGGGACCATCATGAAGTGCGGGGAAGAGTTTGACTGGCAGAGGATCAACTTCGTTTTGGAGGCAGGTGGGGGGGAACATCTTGAGGGGATGGACCGAGCTTTGGTTTGGATGTGTTTGGATCCGGGAAAGTAATACTAAAAAGGCAAAAGCAACATGCTGCAGTGAAAGTACAGTTTTCGATAGCAGTTGTCAGTTTCATGATCCGTGCAGATCAAAGGGGAGACGCTTGAAAACTTCGTTTCCCAAGCTCAGTGCTCCACCAAGAATGCCATGGAGCGTTCATTGGAAGCAGCATTCCAAGCATGGCAGCAGCAGCTCATTTCTGACCAAGCAGTGTTCCAGAATGAGTTGATTTTGTTCCTCGGAACTATATATTGAAAATGGTTCAGCTTTCTCCATAGTCTCCGGTACTGCTTTGGTGTCTTCTGAGTGGTTCAAATGTTGTTTTTGGAGTGCTGTTGTTTTGGGGCTGGTGTCCTTTGATTTTTTCATCCGTTTTCCCCACCTGCTAGGTGAAGGTCTCTAGATTTTAACCACGGTGCGACCTGGTGCGACCCCTTCCTCCTTCTCCTTCTTCTTTTTCTTCCTTCTTCCTTCCTTCTCCTCCTCATCTACTCTTCTGCCAGCTCGTCATGACTGTGGGCACATCATGAGCCCAAGCCATATAGCGAGCCCTAGAAGCAGTTGGCCTCGTGGACCAGATCTCTATATCGCAATCTATATCGCGAGCGCTGGACAGATAGAATGTCAAAACCTATGTCAAATAGAATGCCAGAAAGAATTTCAGACAGTATGAAGCTAGATGCAGATAGAATGCCAGAAAAAGAATGCTAGACAGCATGTCAGGATAGATGCCAGATAGAATGCAACAACGAATGCCTGAAAGATGATTTGTAGAATGCCAGAAAAGATGCCAAAAAGAATGTCGGTATAGATGCCAGACAGAGTGCCTTAATAAATTTTGAAATGCCTGAATAGATGCCAGAAAGAATGTCAGATAGAATGTCAAACTATATGCCAGGAAAATGTCATATAGAATGTCAGAATATGTCTTTTAATTTATGTGCAATTAAAAGAACTTATGTACTTCCAGATAGTATATATTAGAAACTATGCCAGAATAGTGCGTCAGGGTGGGGATCACTCGAAGAAAGCAACTCTACACCCCCAACATCTCCATCCCAAATCCAGGTCTGAGAGGGAAACCGTGAAAGCCAGAGCAGCACTGGTCAAGAGTTTGGAGGACAGGGAGACGTTACAAACGCATGTCAAGTTATCATTAGCTTCACGAAGAATGCAATTACAATATAAGTGTTTGACCCCTTGGAAACAAATTTGAAATGGGTGATTTCAACTTTTTAAACCCAATGTCCAGGATTCACACACGCGTGCTTGGACATGTGTCAGGGAGTTCATGGACAGCAACATGCGCGTCTTCACAGGCCGAACATCGGATCCAGAATCAACTGTCTTACCAGCAATTTCTAGCTGGATCGGCACCACTCTTGAAGATTGCTGCGTTGGAGCTGACGGATTTTCCCTGGTCATCTTCTTGAACGCCCCGTCTTGTGGAATTGTTGGAACAGAGAAGCAATCTTTCTTTGTTACGGCAATAACGAATTTGCTCACCCAGTTTCGTCGGACGGCCATTGCACTGATCGTCCTGCCGAACAGAGCAGGCCAGCAGAATGCAACCAGGAGATATGGGTTGGTGAACGGGCCCGTTGGATTTCAAACTCCGCCTTTGGCGTTGTAAGTTTGCAGCCCGTAGGTTCGCAGAAAATGGGATCCAACGCCAATCACCAAACCAATGGCATTTATCATTGCAATGAAGCTGTAACGGCACCAAAATTGGTATATATAAAAAGGGTGGTGGTATATAAACCATGCTGTAGGAAGACTGAAAGACCGGATGATGGCGACACAAAAGTTGAGGATGACGATGAGGTGAAAAAGGATGAAGGGTCGGAGTCAGGTCAGGATACCATGAAAGCTGAGGAAGCTGACGTTCGGGATGTGAAGTACCAGTTTGAGAACCTCGTTGGGAAAATAAACACGTTCTTGTTCCAAATAAATCTTCCCTCTCCGTTTTGCGGCAAATGCTATTTCTCCTGGGCTGGTTTGTTAGCATATCTGTTCGTTCCCCTGGGCCTGGAAGGAAAGAGTTCTCGCTGAAGGATCGTGGCCTCAAAGTGCGAGACCTGACGTTTGCGTTTGATCCAGAGCCTTGCCTTCGATTTGCATGGTTCTCACATTCTGATAGTTTTCAGGTGATGTGGTTCTATCATGTTCATTGGCTGTGATTTTTTCCCAGCTGGTTGTCTTTGGCTGGGGCAAGCCATCTTGAAAACAATTTTGAAATTTGGGCATGGAGGAAAGCATCTATGGCAAAAGAAGCGGCTTTTTGCCTGGTCTGGCCATAACGTCACGGGACAAAACAAACCAGTTCAGAGAATCGAAGCTGTGGAAGCAAGGCATCGTCCACAACATATCGATGCTCAGCAGGAACCAGATGTTCAAGCCGGAGGTGTCATGGTGGCAGCTACTTCATTTTTTTGATTTAAACTCCCCAAACTCTGACCGGTACATCGAACTTTGGCTGAACATGTTCATTTCTTGGGGCGGTGTGAAACTTTTTGGTTCCCAGGTGAGCCCTTCGAAGACGCTTCCGCATCTAGGGAGAGCAATGACTGACATACAGGAGCTGAAGCAAGTTCCTAGTCTCAGTTTCGAAGAACCTTTGCTAGTCTCCCTTTTGATGAGGGTTTGCCGTTTGCCATTTCACCTCCTCCTTATGTTTCCGACTTCTTGGTGTTCTTTCCTTATTGGTTCCCGTGGTTATGGGTCGGCATGGTTAAGGTGGCCAATGGCTCAGACTTTGTGCGACGAACTCTTGCAGCCCTTTCACCCACTGGAAATCCGTTGGGATCCGCTGGTGCTACCATGCTGATCGACCTTCATGCCTATGATGGATCGCCGGGCATAGCCTCCCTGGAGGATGGTTGGGGTTGTTTAAACTCTGGGCCAAAGTTTTTCAGTTTTTCAACCGCCGATCTGCTGTACTATAGGTGCGGGTCACCTTGGACGTGTATTGTTGGAACCTGTGTGAGGAGATGGCTGAGAACCGCAAGGTTTTCTGTGGCTCGGTGGTTTTGGGGACCTCGCCTGACACCATTGTCTCCCGCTTGGCCAACAAGATCTATGCTGATTGCCGTGCCAAGAAGCTCTCCATCAGCCAGTTTCCTGACTATGAGCCTACCATTCAGGCTTTGAAGTCTGGGGGAAACCGCGTGGATCCAAACACGTACAAGGTTTGCGTGCCTCAGGGAGGGAAGCTGCTTGTTCTCCAAAGCCTCGCCCAAAAGTGGGTAGACCAGGAATCGACCAGCACCCGCGCTTCGGAGTTGATTGCTGGCCACAACGAGAAGTTCAATGATTCGGGAGAGTACTGGGCCTGTGAAAGGATTCTTGTTTATATATATAATGTCTTTCAAAGGTTTCAATACTCTGCTTCTCCGTTTTTCTGATAAAGGTGTACGTCACTGTATTTCAAAAAGACAACTTTCTCAGCCCTCAAGACTTCTGAAGGGCTTGCTGCTAGCTGAGGCATTGACTGATTCAACATACAAGGTGCTTCTTTCAGCTAAGTTTTCAAACGAAACAGAACTTGAGGTGCGTCAGCCGCTTTTGTCACCCAAGCAACAAAACCCCATTGTCACTTCAATCCAAGGGCTGGGGCAAGCTCTGCGCAAGAACGCCCAGCAAAGCGAATCAAGATTGAGTCCTCCGACAAAGCCACAATGGAGGAAGTTTCCAAGCTGGTAGATCCGTTATTTGGCTCAATGGGTTCAGGGCACCCCTTCACTTGGCATTTCTTGTCTCAGCCAGCTGCCACCCGCTTAACCTGTTCACACCTTGTACGCACATTCATTGCCTTCTCTGCGAACCTTGCCAAAATCCTGGTATTGAGCCATCTTAGGCACAAGGTGTCTATCAACAGTTGCGCAGAACTTTGTGCCAACGGTGACGCTGGTGACTCTTTGATCTTGGTGAGCAAGGGCTCCAACGCCTTTCTCCAAGGCAAAGAGATGTGCACAGCTAAGTTCATTCAAGGTAGGGATGCTGTCAACTGTAATATTGAAACGCTGATTTTGCCTCTCTGTTTCGACTCCCTTTGATAGTGAGGTTTAGTTTTGGAGCGGGCGAGTGGAGGGACGGACAAGTTGCTCATCTCAGAATTGGAAATTATTTCGTGAACATTCTGTCACTTCTCAGGATAGACAGACAATACTCATGATTTCCTTGTGGTTCCACCCTCACACATCTTCTCAGGAAGCTGCTGATGTGATGCGGGATGCCACCGGCCGTTGGGTATCATTCGTGGTTTCTGGTCAGAGCTTGCTGCTGGTCGAGAGGAAGACTGTCCCGGATCATTTGGCTGCCCTCAGCAGCCTTGACAGAGTGGCAAGTTTGGATGAAATCTTGTTGGAACTGCAGGATGCTGGCGAGGCTATGTTGTCGTAGAAAAAAATGGTCAAAGCATTTCATGTGTCAGTATATGGGACCATGGTGGCTGCGGCTAGGTGTTGGAACCTCCCTTCCTGTCCCTGCACTTGTCCACTTCAGCCCTTCAGGTGAAGGTGGATGTCTCCCACCACAAACGGGTGGACTCGGAGTGGGCATCTGCAAAGCCATTGGTTTTTGTTCTTGACCCGGTGAAGGATCCAAGTGTCAAAGCTGAGGACAAACCCAAGAAACGCAAGGCCGAGAAGAGCAAAGCACCTTCAGTCAACTTGAAGAACTACGGGGCCAGACTGGACATGGGAAAGGTCAAAGCTTCTAGCAAGCTGACGCTTGCTTGGCGAGCAAGGTTCGATGGTTGTCAAACATGGTTGAACACTGACTGAATTTCATTCTAGTTCTTGCCCGTGAAAGGACAAACATTCTTTGAGCTTGTTTCTGCATGATTTTTGTCGTATAGATTGGCAGGTATAGCCGACGAAGGAAACACCAATACCAAACTAAGCAAAAGTGCATGCCTTCTGCCAGGATCGATGGTAACAACACGGACGGGATCAAGACTATCATCCCCATCAGGCCGATTACCATCCTGAGTGGCAGCATTGAGCTGAACGATGAGGCTGTCAGGCTCTTCTGAAGAGCTTTGCTCTGAGCGCAGAGGGTGTCAGTGAGAGGGTTTTGGGCCTTCGAAATTTTGCAAAATTGCGTATAATTCTTGCGTGCCCTAGGGGCTTCAAACTTTCAAGCTTTCAGGAGGACTTGGCTTCCAGTCAGGCCAAGCATGGACCAGTGTTTGGGAAGGGCGTGGAATGTTCAAAGTTGATTTTCGAGCCACGACTGGGTTGTCAGCTGAATCAGTGCGGCCATCCTTCCCAGCCAATAGATATGCCATGCGTCAGTTCGGATGTAGGGCACCACCGGCTCTCAACCAAACTTCATGACGGGGTGGCCAGGACATTGGTAAGTATGAGCGGACAATGATGTTGAAAAAAGAAATTCTTGGCGTGTATTGTTTTTTTTCAGATCTTGGCCACTTTCTTTTGGTCAAACAGCCATGTGGGTTTTTCCTACGTCTCTGGCATGCGGAAATGCGATGAGCTTGAGAACCTGCCCTGCTCACGCGGGGGTGTTGCGAGAAAATGGCTGTCTGACTGGAGAATGGCAGTGCCAAACATTTTTCTTCGTGTCTTGAAAGCTCAGGAGCCGCCCAGCTGATAAACCAAAGTGTTTGGCTGCAGAGCTCCGGGGTTGCAAAAAATATTGTTAGGGATTTTGGGACAACTGTTCCTACCATGTCCCGCCGCGAAGATGATTCCAGTGATGTGGAAGAAGTGGCGCCTCGAGTGAGTTTTGAAACTCCAGCCCCATAGCCGCAACCAGGCTGGACTGCGTTTGGATTGAACATCCCTTCGGGATACTCACCCTTGGCTTGATATTTCCTCACAGCTTCTTATCTGAGGCTTTCAATCTTCAGGCCATGTTGGGTGAACGCCCTCCACCTGCACGCTCTCTCTCTAGTGCTGGCCTTCGCAGAGGCGCATCTTCGACTGACGTTGCAACTCTCTCGGGAGCCTTGGCGTTGGAATTCACATGCAGGGGGCCAGGTCCATATAGAGCACTCTGGAGATTGGCCATTTGGCTGTGTAAATGCTTGCAGCCGGGCAGACGCTTTAGCTGATCGTCCTTGGAGGACGGTACTGCCCTGCTTCAGCCTGGAAGACGCTTTTGCTGATCCTCCTTGAAGGACGCTACTGCCCCGCTTGAGCCTGGAAGACGCTTTTGTTGATCCTCCTTGAAGGACGCCACTGCCCCGCTTGAGCCTGACGCTTTTGCTGATCCTCCTTGAAGGACGCTACTGCCCTGCTTGAGCCTGGAAGGCGCTTTTGCTGATCCTCCTTGAAGGACGCTACTCCCCCTTTTCACTCCCAACTCGCACGCACATCACACTACTCAGATAACAGGTATTTCCGACGCGCTCCCCTTGGTCGGGGCCGGCGGAATAATATTTGTGATTATATATATTGAATATATGGGGCACCTCACATCTTTAGTCGGGGTATAGAAAGAACAAGTACGCACCTGTGTATTATGTGGGATGCACATCCAAATAAGCGCAGGAGCAACACCGGTGTCAGAGTATATTTAATACAGATTGTATCTATGATATTATAAATAGAGGGTTTGTATTGGCCTACCAGACATGTTTGTGTTTTGGGGATAATAATGTGGCTAGATGGTACCACCAAAAAACGGATAATATAAAGTGACATGACAGATATATTTAATTTACTATGGCTCATTATTCGAAACCCATTGGAACCCATTCTAAGTGGCTGTTTTTGGTAATACGGCAAGCTCACTAGTAAGTCGCAATTTTCGACGGTTCATTGAAACCGCACCTGGTTAAAGCATAGAAATATGTTTTTTAAACCTATTTGCTGTATATATTTTGTTGGATTGCTAGCCAAATTTCTTTCAGAGAGGATGCAAATCCAATCCAACGAATCCCTGTCCATTAAAGTCGATAGTAAGAATAATAAACATAAAATACGTGCATTGTCGTGTTTGCGAATCCCTTTGCGATTTGCAGCCAGCATTTTGGAAAGCTTGTTCTCCCTGGTTCTTGCAGGAATGCCATTTTGTCATCTAAGGAATGGATCGCCGACCTGACAAATCCGTGCTGCCAGGTCGGTTCTCGGAGTCTGACTCCTCGGAAAAGAATTTACCTCCTTTCAAGAAACCAGCTGCACAAGCAAGCAGCTCCAAGGGTTGCAAGAATCCAAAGGGAATTCCCAAGTCAACAGCTGGGGATGATGATGACCGTGAGGCCACCACTGACACTGAAATTGATGATGCCCCAATTGATGAAAATTGCCCCTTAGGCGGTGCTGAACATGATGACGATAACGAAGATGGTGATAGCGGATTAGTTGGTATGTCCAAAGCTTTGAAAGCTTCCCGTGAGAAGGCCCTGAAAGGCCGTCGTCGAAGGTAACCAAGGCATCGGGTGGCATGAAGAAGCCTGCCAGCAGGAAGCAATCTTTGGGTGCTCCAGAGGAGAGGGCCCAATCCTTCCCATAGTTGTCTTAAAGCTCTCTTGGCTGTTTCTTCCCTGTATTCAAATTTGATGGAGTTCAGCTGATTCCACCAGGAGCCGGCTGAGACTCCCAGCCACACGCTACTCGCTTGAAGGCTTTTAGAATTATGTTTTCCAGTGTCTCGTACCACTGGTTTTCAATGTGCCATGGGCCAGGGCTCCCTTTCCCATGTCTTCGGATCTAAGGAAGTCTGACTTCCAGTACCCGGACAACCAGCTGGGGATGCCTTCCGATTACTTCAAGCGCATGGGCGCTGCGACCTCCCCTGAAGCTTGGCAGCATGGAGCTTTGGGAAGCACATGGTTTCTGAGAGGTGGTAAAAACATCTTGGGCTGCAATGGTTCAATGCGTGCAAGCACATATGTCAAACACTATGTCACTATGAAAATAGTTCAGGATTCTCAGCTGAATCAGCGTGATCTTGCTGACGCCTTCGACAAGGCATTTTTGTTCAATTGCCTCAACATGTTTCAATGACCTTGTGCTGCTCTCCGATGTGCTTGAGCATTACATGCAATCTAGATATCTAAACAGATAACTTTACTACGTGCGCTTATTTTCCCACAGACAGCTCTAATGCTAGGCTGCTGGAGAAGAGCCTTGCGGGCATGGATCTGGAAGTGCTGGAGACGGGCCTGGTTCCTACTCCCATGATGCTGCAGCGACGCCGATGGAAGAGCCTGGCGCCACATGTGGCGGTACCCCTGCACCGCCTGCCAATGGCGGTCACGGAGCTGTTGGGGTTGAAGCAGCTCGTGCTGTGGCTGTGGCGTTGGATCTGGATGGAGCTGTGGTCACACGCGAGTTGGTGGCGAAAACCTATGATGCTGTGTGCAAGGCGTTGGTGTTGGTTGAAAGAGCGGGAATGGCGTGTGAGGATTTTCCATCCCCTTCACTTGGCCCAGAAGATGTTTCTGCCACCAGCCTCACCCCTACTGAGCCAGAGTCAACTCCTGACCGAGCATGGCGCACCCCTGTGGATGTTGATTCTTCCCCTCGTCACGCACCAGAGCCTGACCATGCACCAGAGCCGACACCTTCCGAAGTGCTGATCCCTGAGGTTGGCAAACCATGCCGTGGGAGAAATGCGAAGGCCAAAGCAAGTTCTGCAAAGGCAAAGAAGGCGGCCAATCCCAAGAGCTCACCGGAAAAAAAGGCAGCACCCAAAAGCCTGCCAAAGTCACGAGCAACTCGAAAGGCAGCCGCCCCCAAGGCAGCAGCCAAAGCAAAGGTCAAAGCCATGGGGAAAGGACGAGCCAAGAAAACAAAGAGATCTGCTGAGGATGCTGAGATGGGTGATGCCGCTTTGGCATCTGAGAATGTTGAGATGGGCCCTGAGGCCACTGAGACTGTTGAGGGCGGTGTGGCTACTACCGCTGAGATGGGTGCAGGTCTTGCCGTTGAGGCCCGTGAGACTGCTGACAGCACCGTGCACATGCCTGCTCGCGCGGGGATGGCTGAGATGGCTGAGAACACTGAGACCCCTGAGGCCACTGAGCACCGATATGCCAATGGGATGACTGAGAAGGAAGTTGCAAGGAAGATGCATTCGGCATCTTGGCGACAGTTTTGACAAAAGCGTCCTGAAAAACATGTTGCCGCATGCCTTCTCGCATCCCCAATCAATCTGTCAGGTATACTCGACGGCTTGGAAGCTTGAGAAGGACAAAGGCAAGAAAAGGGCATGTGCTGCAGCAGCTCGCCGCAAGCTACTTGCAAGCAATTTGTTTTTTCCACTGAGACGTGTATTATTTCGAAGCACGACAGTGTGGCGCCACAAATGACAGTTAGTGAGCTCGTCAACAAAGTGATGATTGTGTTGTTGAAAGGGCATCATTTGTTTCAATTTATGAGGTGGGCCTCTACCTATGGACCGAATGAGAGCCTGGCCGTGCAGCGCGTTTTGAGAGATGTGGTTTAAACACATGAACCAGATGTGTTGTGACCCAGTGCATCCAAGTGGTGGTGCAATGGTGACAGCAAAGACAGGCTTGGGGAGAGCCAAAGAAGTGCCCAGCGCTTGCTCTGCCGCATTAAATCCAAAGGACCCAGAAACAAAAAGGAAAGGACCCAGATAGGACTTCCCTCCAGTAAATTAACATAGACCCTGGCAGATAGGGGTTGGAAGACTAGTTTCCGCTATCAATTGGTGATTTTCAGGGTCTATGTTAATTTACCAGGGGGTAATAGGTGTAATAAACCAACTTATTAGTGGAATTTCTGGAGTACTTGGGAATGCAGTTGAGCGTACAACCACGATTACCAAATATCACAAACCTCCACAAGTTGCGATGTAACCCCGAAAAAACAATGGTTCTACAATATTATCCACGCATAACATTCGTATAACTGGAAATTCACTTTCAAGTAGGGACCCCCAATGATGAGACCCCAATTCCCAGACATCCCATCATACATCTATATACTTCCAAAAACTACTCCCTTCAGACATCCCAGTATGGAAAGCTGGGAATAGAGCTACTATCATTGTCCCTAGAAATTGGGTCATCCATGGGATCATCATCCCAAAACTCGTCATGTTTTTAGCTGGAAAGCTGGAAGAATCTTGGGCATAGCTATCACCATGACTTCACCATGTTCCTTTGGAAAAAAAAACCTCATCATCAGATTCTTGGTAGAATGAAGATGATAAGGACTTAAACCATGTTATCCAAGAATTATCATAAGTTGGTAGATATCCCCATGAATGAACATGAATTGACATAGAAGTGGACAATCACCATTTTAAATAGGTGATCCTTTATAAATGGGCCATGGCTTCCATAGCATTCCATAGCTATGTGAAATCACCAAAGGGTATCTAGTATGCCGATGAGTGGCTGGGACCTCGTATTACTGGAACATCTTCCAAACTCATTCAGGATCATCAACAATTTAATAAACCTATCCACTCGGCAGATGAACCAAAACAACGGGTACATTTTTCGGCAGATACCCTCTGGTAAACTAACATAGCTATGGAAAATCACCATTTTTCATGGGTAGATCCACTATAAATGGCCATTTTCAATAGCTTTTTGTATGTTTACCAGAGGCTAATCCTGCGGTCGAATTCATGTCTTGGTCAGGTCCAAAAAATGGATCCTCGGCGCTTGAAGACCATGACCAGTAGCAACATGCAACAGTAGCAACACGCAGAAAGGGAACAAAAACTTGGGTTGCCAATATCCTTATCTGTTGCTATTAGTTCACATGAACTTGGGTAATTGTATCTTGTATCTCGGGATATATTAATCATTAGGTCAACTCTGGTCTCTGAGCTCGATGTCAACTCTGCCGTAATCGACATTGGTAATTGACATTGCCGCTTCTCCAAATTCTTGGGGTAGAATTGTTTCCTGCTTATATTAACCATTATCTGGTTGGTCGTATACGAACCCCTCTGGAAAATATGAGTTCGTCAGTTGGGATGATGACATTCCCAATATATGAAAAGTCATAAAATTCCATGGTTCCAAACCACCAACCAGCATTATATTATAATAATATATAATAATAATCCTTATATATATAATTATATATATAATTATTGTAATTATATGTGATGATGATGATGATGATGATGATGATGATGATGATGATGATGATGATGATGATGATGATGAACATGGTGAACATGGTGAACATCAACTCTAAATGGCCATTTTCCCATAGCTATGGAATGACCATTCTTCATGTGCTCGCCTTCATCACGATGGTGGATCCCTCCAGGATAGTTCTCACCTCAAGGATGAAGAGATACCACTGAAAAACACCATGAAACACATTGGTTTTTTCACTGTCCCCATGAAAAAAAGAACGTGGATATGACTAGGATATAGTATGATATGGGTATGGATTCGGATCAATACCTATTAATACCATTTTTAGGAGGATGAACATCCATTTACCAGCTATTTTGATGTTCACCAGGGGTACAAGGTTTTGACACACTGCCATATAGTGATATACTTGAGGATTTTTGATTTGGGAAAATCATTTTGAGGAAATCAAGATTCCTTCCCTCATGGTCAAACCTCTGATACCCCGTAGCCGGCTCCCAACAATTCGTCACATAGCCTGGCCTTGAAACCAGGCTAGAGGCTCTCTCAGTGTGAGAATCATCTGGAGATTGTGACTTTATGGAGCCCAAGTCTGGAAGAGTCACATGATCTGGTCAGCTGAGCTGTGATGAACAAATAGATTTGAGCCCCCGTTAAATTTCTTCATTGCTACAGCTACAGTTGGTCTTCCCCAACGCCCAAAACAACAACCAGAGTCCAACCGTTGGACGCAGCCCAGGGGCTAAAATCTTTGAAACCAGCGTCAAGGACCAGCGAAAGGCTTCTTGCGCAATTTCCTCCAGGATAAATCAAGATAAATCAACGGGATTTCTGTGGATTTCCATATGGATTTCTATGAGGATAATTAATTAGTTGAGATTTTCTCACAGATCATCACTTGAGGCACTCCAGGGGTACAGATTTTCACAGTCCCATGGGGTTTTTTACTCACCCCATGACCAAAAAAGACACGGGGCCCCGCCGATTCTCTGGACAGCCTCCGGGTTGATGCTCTTTACAGCATCTACGGCAGAAGACCTCAGTTTTTACCACGGTTTGATGGGAACTATGATGGCCAGTGACTGTCAGTATGCTTGGACTTGCTTCAGGAACCCCGAAAATTCAAAATATACTGGTTGGTGGTGCAATAACCATCTTGAAGAATATGAAAGTCAATGGGAAGGATGACATCTCATATATTATGGAAAATAACAGTCATCTTTGAAACCACCAACCAGCATATATTCGCTTTTTCGAGTCCCCCAAGTGTCGTGGATTTTCCATTGGGAAAGTCGCATCTTCGGCCCAAGGGCCAAAGGGTTCCCAATTTCATGGGCCAGGCCTTTGGGGCCAAAAATTCATCCCATGAAACTGGTGGATTTCGCAGGGCAGGGAAAAATCAATGGGAGATCTTCAGGATCCGAATTAATGGAGGTACGTTAGTACCAGATGTTTGGCCATATTTTGTGGGGATATTCCCTGAAATTTAGGCCTCAAAAATAGGCCTTATATATGGTAGGTACCTCCAATCAATCGGATCCTGAAATGGCCATTGAAAAATGGGTTTTCACATCATGTTGTCCTGCTGGAATGGGATGATACCTCTGCCGAAATCCTTGGCGATTGGCGAATATTGGGGATTTTTTGGAGGTTTTTGGGGGACCCTTCAGCTGGATGCAAAGATCTAGAAGTACTGAATCTGGGTAAATTGGATGAATCATTTATCCGAAACCAAGATTCACAATCAGATTGCCATTTTCATCATTCATCCCCAAAAAATATAGGTCGTTTCCGGGGATGACTCCGACTCCGCCATCATCGGTGAGGTGAGCCGAGGCACACGAAGGGAGCAAAGAACTCGGTTGGGATTCCGTAGCCAACATGTCGTAGTCCCAGGGCCGAGATGTCCTTCCAACTGAGGGAGGGATCCCTGAGGATTTTTGTGGGAACTGATAGGGCGAAGACCCGTTGGAAGCAAGACTTGGTGGCTTATCTCATGAACATTCATTTACTAAATAAGTTATATATACGTATCCTTATATATCCCTGGGTTTTAAACAGGGTGAATCCACTTTTTTCATGCGAACTAATCTTAGTAATTGAGTGGGATGAATCAGCAGATTCTTCCGTCAAAAATTGGGCAATCCATTCCAATGATTTAACCATTTGCTATAATTCACTAAGGATTGCTGATAGAAGTGCTATCTTAAATGCTAGAGTCGCACCTTAAATCTGAATACTGTAGCCCAAATCCTTTCTCGGCAGGAGCCATCATCAGGGCCAACAGATGCGATGTGCCCAGATTCTGCAATGTGCAAATCCCTTCAACGATGGGCCCCTGACTCACAATTACAAGCGGTTTTCTTTGATTAATTTCTGTTCGTTTCACTCCATTATACCGGTACATTGGCAATTTGCTCACGGGTGTTCAAACCATTTTATAAACATGATTGCCAGCAATTAAGAACTTATCTCATCACCACCAACAAAAAACATATCACCATATGCCACCACCATTTAACCATGAAAACGACCCTGTTTCCACCATGAAACCCCATTCAACAACCATTATAATAATCACCATTTAAAGACTCAAGGAAAAACCTAAGTTGTCGTAACCGCGTAACCAATAAAAAACAATCATATGAATCATATCATCGATAAATGGTGTTCCCCATACCCATATGCTCCATGCATGGTATATTTACCTACATGACTGGGTGATTGTTAGGGTAAATGTTGGTAAATATTCCAGCACCATGGAGCATCTGGGATATAGAATCACCAAGATTTGAAAGATGTTGAAACTATCCAAATCATCAAATCCATGTCTATCCAATTTCCAGCAAGAATTTACCCTCTGGTAATTTAACATAGCTATTGAACATGGCCCAGTCGAAATCGTGGATTTTCCCATGAATAGCATGGTGGATCTTTCCATAGTTTTTTGTATGTTTACCAGAGGGTAAATCCACTATAAATGGTCATTTTTAACATTCAGAATTTACCCTCTGGTAATTTAAAAAAGTGGATTTTCCCATTAAAAATGGAGATTTTCCATCAAAAATGGTGATTTACCAGAGGGTCAATTCTGGGAAAACCACGATGATCACCAGAATTTCTCCTCGACCAGTTTCTTGGGATCTCTATACATCTCCGAGGTCATCTCCTTAGACCGAAGCACCAGGTTGAGACCATGGGAAAACCCATGGTGTTTTGATCATAAAAAGCGGAACATCAGAAAACCACCAGAAAACCAGCTTGAGACCATGGGAAAACCATGGTTTTTACTAATTGCCATGGGAAAAACCAGGCAAAAGTCCCTGGTTAGATTTGGAAGGTTGAAATTGAGAAGAAA